TATTATTTTAATACAAAGGACTAAAATAAATAAAATTAAAATTTAAAGATCAAATTAAAAGGATTATAAACTCGATTTAGTGACTAAAATGTAAAAATTACAAGTTGGAATGGCTTCGGATGGGGTTTACCCTTTATGAAATTATAGAAATACCCTCCCCAAAACGACGTCGTTTGGGAGAGGGTATTAATACCCTAAGCCGGCTGGCCCTACGGGCCAGTTTCTCATTTCTTCAATTCTGTTCTCTCTCTAACAGAGAAAGAACAAAATTTCTCTCTGCCTTCTCTCTAGCTTCCCTCATCGGAGGGAAGCTGGTCACCGGACGGCAACCGTCTGCCGCCATGACCGTCACCGCCGGCCACCGCATCCGGTGGCCGGAAAATTTTATTTTTATACTATTGGGTAGATCGGACCGTCCTAAGGACGGTTCCGGTGTTATTTTCTCCTAAATAGCTCCCAATCGGAGCAAATCCAAAGAAATACCTTCTGTATTTTCGAAGGTTTTGGTGAAGTTTGAAGAGTCCGGTGGCTTCCTCGGTAAGCTTCTTTCCTTTCTTTTTGTCTCTGTTTTGGATTTTTGCTGGTTGTGGGACGTTTGCTCTCTGTTTTCTGTCTCTCTGTCTCTGTTGTGGTTTCTTCTCCCTCTGTTCTCTTTTTTTTGCTCGCAGATGGGGTGATGGCTTTATAGCCATCACCGATGTGGCCATCGGACCGGTCCGAAGAGCGAGTTTCGGTGAGTCACCGGACTCCCAGTGGTGACTCACCCCATAGCCATATCGTGGACGGTTGGCGTTGGAGCTTCTGGAGCCTTCGGTTGGGACGTGGCAGCGGTGGAGACGGCGAGAGCAGCTGCGGCGGCCGCGTGGCCCTAGGGTATCATACCCTAGGGTTTGCTGCTGGAACCATCTGGACCGTTGGATCTTGCCAGATCCAACGGCAGCAAGCTGAGGCGGCTGGGAAGATGGAAACCCTAATCTGTTAGGGTTTGTGATGGGCCATTTGTAATTGGGCCGGTTGATTGGGCTTATATATTTTTTATTATTATTTATATATGTATTTAATATATTTAATAATAATAATAATAATAATGATAATAATAATAATAATAATTATAATAATAATAATAATTATAATAAATAATAATAATAAATCAATATGGGTAAAAAATTAGTATCTTCACATTGAATCTCACATACATACAACACTATACAATGCCATGCATTTAATATGAATATTTTAATAAAAACATATGCATAAACATTAAAACATTTGCATTTACATATTAAAGAGGCACTAAGTTTCATGCATATAATATGTATATTTTAATAAAAATGTAGGCCTGGACGTTAAAACATTTGCATTTACATATTAAAGATGTAAGTACTAAGTACAGATATGTAAATGTCCAAAGAGTAAAAAGATTATTTTTATCCAAGTATTAAGATTCAAAGACTTGAGATCAATTGATTAGAACTAATTATTGATTATTCATGTAATAGAAAATATACTTCATAAATAACCCTTTGTATGATCTAGATTTGCATAGAAATATGAGGTCGACACAAATGCAAATCTATTAATTTTATTTTTATTTTTATAAATTCTCTTTACTTATACGTCTCAAGAAAGTAAATTTTTAGGGGGAAAATAAGCATAATGTAAAAATTATCTCTGCAAGTTTTATCAACATAATCATTTTAGTCTTTATTTTTGGAGTATTTTGATCCAAACGTTTCATTTTGGGAACAAAAGGACCATATGTGAGTGGAAATCGTTAGTTAACAAATTGTTTTTTAAATTAGTTAACAAATTATTAACGCTTTAAAATAAGAATTTTTTTAATATAAAATGAAACGTTGAGAGTCAAAATGCTCTAAAACAAAATAAGAGCCAAAATGACTATCCAGGTAAATGATTGAGATTGAGGGTCACATTGAGTGCACAAATATGATCACAATGATTTTTTTAGGGTTAACTACTTCAAATACCACCAACGTTTCAATTTTGCAAATTTTAGCACTAATATTTACTTTTAAGTGCAATTATACCACTCTGACGTTAATGATTTAACGACAAGATGACTTGGCAACGTCATGTTGTGACGTCGTTGACGTGGATACCTCATCTAAATGAAGTCGTTTTGATGTTTCTGTTTTAATGCTCAAAAGACCCAAAAAGATGTCGTTTTGCTTGAACCCTAATTTTCCTAGGGGCTAAACTCAAAATTTCCCATTATTTTTTTCTCTTCTTCCTCCTCATCTTCATCTCCTTTTCCATGGTTTTCTTGGCAACCAAATGGTCATCATCTGACAACGACGTCTTTTTTCATCGCTAAATCCGAGAACTTCTCCTCAACGGAGGGTCGTTGTAAAATCGACCATCGACTCCATCAATCGGAATATGAAGTTTGTATTTTCTGTTTGTAGCGACGAACACTTTCGCGATGCTGGTGAAAACACTTTTGCGATGTTGGTGAAAACACTTTCGCGATGCTGGTGAAAACAATTTCGCGATGCTGGTGAAAACACTTTGGCGATGCTGGTGAAAACACTTCCTTCGGGTTTTATATATATACAAAAAGTCTCGTTCCGATGAAGAACAAAACAATGGTGATGACCGAGCAAAGCGTTGGGATCTCAAGCCCTAATGCCCTACTAATATCATTTTGGATATAAACCATAGTATTTTGAGCGATTAGCAATATGACCGTTTGAGTATTTTGAGCGGTCATCAAGATGACCATTTGAGTGGTGTAGTATAAGTTGTAGAAACTCTTGTTTTCTTTTCACTATTCTTCAGTCGTCAAATCAAATTGATCGACGGCGAAATGAACACACCAAGGTTTGATTATGTCGTTTTCGATGGATAACTAGAATATCTCGATAACCAAAATGCCGAGTTGGGCATTGTTGTAGGGTATGCATTGGCCGAGTTGTAGTTCCTCTTTAGCACACAATGAAGGGTGCAACGGTGGAATTAAAGCCGTCAACATCATGATTATCATTCCCTACCGATTAGTGGTTGAAATCACATGTTATTGATTATGTTCAAATAGTATATTTGAAATTTAGTTAAACATTCATGACATTACGAGGATATATATATATATATAACAGGATAATTGACAAGGATCCTAGAACAATGATCCAAAATTTACCCATGAATGAATCGGAAACATATGCACCAATTTTATGACGAACAAAAGCATCAATGTCGTTCAAATGAAGGACAAGTTCTCGGATTTAGCGATGAGCGTCATAGTGAAGATGGTGACCGAAAAAGGATACGATGGTCTTAACGAGAGAAATGACGAGGAATCCAAAAGATGCCAGATGGTGACCATTTAGTTTCCAAGAAAACCATGGAAAATGAGATGCAGATGAAGATGGAGAGGAAGAAGAGAAAACAATAATGGGAAATTTTGAGTTTACTCCTTAGGAAAATTAGGGTTCAAGCAAAACGACGTCATTTTGGGTCTTTTAAGCACTAAAATAGAAACATCAAAACAACATCGTTCAGATGAGGTATCTACGTCAGCGATGTCACGGCATGTCATTGTGCCTTTAAATAATTAAAGACGGAGTGGTATAATTGCACTTAAAAATAAACGTTAGTGCTAAAATTGACAAAATTGAAACGTTAGTGGTATAAATGAGTCAGTGCTTAATGTTGTTAGTATTTGAAGTAGTTAACCCTTTTTTTATAAGTACAAGGACCTCGTATACCTTTTTATCTTTAAATATTTAATAATTCAATAATATTACTTTAATGAATTAATGAATAATATTAATTTATTAAATATTTATTTTATACATTATTATAATATAATTGAGCATAATATTATAGTATTGAAAAATATAATATTATATGATTAAAATCATTTTATATTAATTAATATTAAAATAATATATTAATATTAAATATATGAAATAATAATATTTGAATATTTATTTAATTTGAAGTGAAAATTCAGAGAATAATTTACAAAAAATTAAATTAAAGTCATCTTTTAAAAATATGCAAAGAGAATACTACAAAAATGAATTACACTGATTAATATATTTTTTATCAATCAAACAATAAAGAAAAGTATTTTTAAAAAATTAATTATAATTAATTAAACAGACCCTATAAATCTATAAGCAAATATACAATTAGAGATGGGTATAGGACCCGAACTTGACATGTTCCAACCCGACTCGACTTGATCGGGTTGAATTTTAACTTATATATTTAGATATAATTACAATAATACCCCTTTATATATTATTTTCTTTCAATTAAATCCTTATTTTTATTGAATAAAAATAATATTTTTTTAATAAATATATTATTTCGGTCGAGTCAAGTAGGTTTCAAATTCTATCTCAAAAAATCGGGTTGAGTTTGGGATGGGTGGAGGATTTTTAATTTTTACGTTGGTTCGGGTGGACCGAAAATCCAACTCGACCCAACCCATGTCCATTCATATATACAACATATGGCGAGTGATATAATAATGGGTAAACTACATGATTGATTATTTTCATTTTAGATTTTTATATTTTTTCACTGAATTCAAAAATATAATATTTGGTCACTTTTATTTGTATTTAATTAAAATGTAATCATATTTGTTTTTATTTAGTTAAGATGTGATTAATTATCTTATAGACTTTTAAGTGTTTAGTAGCTGAAAAATTGACTATAATTAATGAGAAAATTAAATAAAAATTGTCACATTTTAATTAAATAAAAAATAAATAAATATTATATTTTTTAAATTTAATAAAAAATATACAAAACTAAAAAAAAAGTGATAGATCCTTTACACTCTATAATAATTTAAAAACAAAATCCAATTAAACAAAAACATAACGGGACTTGATTTATCCTAAAACATTTTTAGCCCAAAAGTTTGAAGCCCAAATATTCTTTATCACCTAAAAGAAGAAAGGAATAAACCGTACAAAAATAAAAGGAAAAACTAGAAAGGAATTCGTATAGGCAAAGCAAGCAGCAGCGTTTACAAGAACAACACACAATTAAGAAAAGAAAAAAAAAGATTAAAACTTCATCTGCAGCTGATGATTGTAGATGGTTCTTCCCCACTGCCTTTGAAGAGGAGAAGATTCACTAATATCGATTCCATGGAGGCTGCATCAGCTAAAGTTTGTCCCCTTCTTTAATTCCTTGATTTAGTATTTTTATTTGGTGTCCAAAATCTTGTTTTTTAAGTGGTGGCTTGATCCATGTTTCTAATCTGATTATTGATTCATATGGTGGGTCTGGTTCTTCTTGTTTATTCAACTGGGTTTGTTCCCTTTTTCGTGATTTTAGATGCCACTAGATATATACCGTATAATGATTTAAGAGAGTTCTTTGTATTGCTTGTTGAGCTCCACTTCTTTAACATGAAAGATAACTGAAATTCGCTTAATTACGTTGGAATGAAACTGGGTTTGTTCCTCTGGTCTTTTCAAGAAAATTGGTCAGTAGCCTCCATTTTTTTATTTTATTTTAAGAAATTGCTATTAAAAAGTTAATATAACTAGATAAAAGGGAAAACTATTTCTTCCCCTTCTCTGTTTGGTTCTTCTTGGTTTTTTGTACTATTCCTATATAAGGAACATTGTGCGTATGAAGTTGTTGGAGCTTACTAAATTTTAGTTCCTACCGTATGTTGTGCTGCTCTCTGGTGTTTGTAGAAGGGACAAGTAGATGTCTGGAAAGGTCTCGGATTTATCGTTTTTGAATCTTTGCGATCCCGGTCTTAAGAAGAGCAAATTTTAAGCACATTCAGTGTTTTATATGTCTTATGGTTGTCATACGTGTCATAGATGCAGCTTGGGTTTCCTTTAAACACATTCAGGATTTTTGACTTCCTTGCAATGGTTTTAGGCTAAGCTTGATGCTGCAAAAGAGAAATTTAGACGAGACATTCGTGTATTTGAAACTGCAGGACCATTGCCAACTCAAAATGAAGTGCCCAACACTGGTATGGCCCGCCAAAACATATTTTCAGACTTTTAACTTGCCTATTGACTAGAACTGACAGTTCCTATGGTAAACCGATCAAATGCAATGCTATTTTTTGGGCAGAGGAGTCAGATGACTTCTACGAGTTCACTGCAGAAGATTATCGTCGAGTGATGGCAACTAAAAAGGAAGGTAATGTTGCCAATGAAAATAACTCATAATCATTACAATCTTTGCCGCTTCATCTAGATATTTTTAGCTGTTGATATCGGGGTTATGTTATGACAAAATGACTGGCACACTCGTTGCTGGAGACATTTGCACTGTTTGAAGTCGATAAAATTGTTAACAGATAAGTTCCTGAAGACACGAAAAATTCGAGAAGCAGAAGAGGCAGCCCGAAGATCAAGAATAACAAAGGTACTTTCTATTTATTTCTTGCCACTTCCTTTGTTGATCTCTTAGTTGTTTACATGTTTAGAGTACTTAGATCCCAATTATGAGAAAACTTCATCTAGGATGAGTAATGAAACATTGAGTAGGTTGTATCGATTTCCTTTTTGATAAGTTTCAATGTTCATGTGCAGGCTGTGATAAGGGTTCGCTTTCCTGATAACCAAACATTAAAGGTCACATTTCATCCCTCAGAGATGATTCAGTGCTTGGTTGATCTTATCACCAAAGCGATTGCCCGACTGGATTTGCCTTTTTATTTGTGTAAGTATATTTAAGTATAAACACTTCGTTATGTAATACTAACTGTATGTTGGTTGTGAAGCTAATGAGTTGAATTTTATGCCCGTTATCCTAAGAAGCAAATAAAGGACATGACACAGGATTTTTTCTCTGCTGGTTTCATTCCGGGTGCAATTGTGTATTTCTCTTATGATCTCCCAAAAGGTTAGTTCCATAGATTGGAAGTTATCTGATTCGCAGTATGATTCACACTGGTTAATGTTGCTTTGAAATGTTTAGGTGACGAAGCTGCAGCTGCAGATTCAGCAGCCTTCCTTTTAGATGATGTCAAGTCCTTGAAAGGTTTGGAGGTCATTGCCGGTGCTGAGCAGCCAGCGCCGGTTCAATCTGCCCCGGAAACTGCTGCAGGTGCCAGTACAGTTTCGTCCCCTGTTGTTCAAGCTAACAAGCCGAGTGATAAAAAACCGGCCAAGCCAAAGTGGTTTAAAATGTGATGGGAGTTCAACCACGTAAAACGTTGAGCTTCGTATTGGGGTTTAGCACTTGTATTCCCCATATCCATATCTCCATAGTTATACCGAATCTTGGCCATGTTATCTCAACTGCCTCGGATTTAAAGGAGAAATTTGTTTAGTGATGCTGAACATGTGAAGAATGATTAGACTTGCAGAAAAAAAAATGTGAATATTTTGTTGTGTTATTGTTTACAATTTCATTATTATTTGTAGAACATCCAAGTCAAGTAACTTTAAAGTATGATATTTCCCTCCAATTTAGTATCGTAGGATTTGAGCGGGATTGAAAAAAATGGCTTGGAGGTCTAGGGTTTTATTTTTTTTATTGATTCTGATTGGTATTTTTATTGGGTAAAATGATTCCCCTAATTTCAAAATTAGACATTAATTTTTTTTAATTTAAAAATTGAGTAATTAAGAGGAAGAAATAGTGAAATATTGAGGTAAAAAAAAATTGGGAATTGGGGATGGTGATTTTTTTTTTGAATTAAAAGTTAGGCAAAAACCAGGTGGTTGATAAGAAAAAATATAGTGGCAGTCATTCGAATTCATTTATTGTGCAGACATAAAATTAACAATCATATTGGCCTTGCCTTGGATCTACTTGAAGTCGATCGACGAAGCTTTGTCATAAAGGGAGGCGATTGCATGCACATAGGCATACGAGACTTGGGGAGAGGGTGGAGGAAGAAGCTTAACCACATCCACTTTGGATAATGTTACGTTCAAATCCATGTTCCCATGCAAGACTCGAGCCTTCGAAAACTCTCCATAACATGGCATGGAGGACAGAAGATATCCCCGACGACCTTCATGATCTCGGAAGCTTCCACCTGTAGAACCAAAGCCAGAATTGCGAGAAACGATAGGATCAGTGTTCATGCAAATCCATCTCGATGGGGGTGGTTACCAAGAAATCAGTTCAGGCAAAGTCGAAGAGTTGGCATAGCTGGGCGTAGTAGGACGGTTGGAAGAGATCCCTTGCAAGATCCCTTGAGGTTTCATGTTTATAAGTATTGATCGAGGCTGTCTGGACGGGCATGACGGACAGGGTCAAGAGCAGGCATCTTTCTCTATTAAATTATTATTTTATTCATTATCTTGTTTATAGTATTACAATATTATGGTGATTAAAATAAAAAAATATGCTTAATACTATTATATAACAATATTATAATACTGCTATTTTTATTATTTTATTTGAAAATATTATTATAAAAATTAATTATTATTATTATTATTATCACATAAAAATATAGGAATGTATATACAGAGTATATGATTATAGAAAGTGTAACATAATATTATAGTCATTTACAATTAAATTTAGATAAAAAGTTGAATATGTCAAATCGACTCGAAAAATAATTAAATAAAGTTTGAGTTATTAGATTTTTTATTATTAAATATTTTATATATTAATTTTAAGAAGTATAGGATCAAATTCATTTTAAGGGGATAAATTATTTTTAAGAGTAATATATTTTTGTTTATTTTTCATATTTTATATATTTAATTTATATGTATAAAAAGTTTCCAAAAATTTATGGGGTGTCAATCAGCTCCGCCCATAATTGTATATTATAATAATTATTATTATAATAAAAATATAAATAATATTATAGATGTTATTATTTGAGTACTTAAAATATTATTTTGTTTTATAGGTTTGTTAAAAGGATCACATTTCCTCTCATCTTGAAGAAGTGATAAATTTTCTTACTAATTTAATTATTGAAGAATCAGTTATGTGTAAGTAAAAGTAATTTTTAATTATTAATTGCGTAATGTGCAACGTGCCTTCCGTCATTTAGAAAAGAAGAACGAGGAGCCAGACTAACTTATTATCTATTATTCGGAGCAAGTCAGATTTTAGAATACCACATTCCTTCGTTGTTATATATTGGTCTACAGATTGATAAGTGTGTTCATTCTCTTGAAGATGTGATTATACAACTCAGTATCCCCAAAAATGAGATACGAGTCATGGGACATAATAACTACAACATATATGATCTTGGCGTTCAGTACCTTGGAAAGACGTCGTTTTCAACCGAAGTAAAAGGATTACATTTCAAAATGACGTGGCTGGAGAATAAATTTGAAGTCATAGTAAATTGTAAAAAACATGATATTATATTTTCAACCTGAGCATATATGTTACATATGATTGGAAGGATATTGGTGTTTGACAAATCTGATAATCTCATTCACATGAAATATTTTTTGAAAACATATATGCTTGGTTAGGGATCGATAATATTGATGTTTTTTATCGCGAAATGTGCAATGAGGCAATGATATATGCTGCGTAGAAAACAGATACTGGTATGTTTTTTTTTGGTTGCAATCGTAGACCTAATACAAACTTCTATTTTAACACAATTGGTCAAATTACTAGTTGATTTTTTTTCTAGCCGAAAGGTAATATTATGATTTAACATATTAAAGAAACATTTTTTAATTTAAAACTTTTAACTAGAATGACTTATAAGCTAGGATTTAATTTTTATGAAGATGAATACATCGATTGCACGACACGAGTTTGGCTCAAAATAATATAAGAGACGTAAAAATGAAGATTGAGAAATATGAGAAAAGAAGCTATCATGATAGAAAGTATGTTTTCTAGTTTAATTTTTTTTTTTTGCATTTTATTAATTTGGACGTATAATCTTATATGATTGTTTTATATTTTATTTGGAGGTTGCACACAAATTTAGAAATCAAGTTATGTGTACCAAAATATGTTTGGAAAGCTCCTGAAAATCAGTGTGCAATTATGTCGTTTATCCATTTTGTTATTGCCGAGGTACAAAGTATCAATAGAGTGTTGAAACAGTTTAACATTCACCAACTTTAATGCAATATTGACATACTGAGACATATTAACTTTCACCAACTTTCATGCAATATTAACATACTTCGTAATATATATTGAAACGGTAAGTTCAATGGGAATTGGTTTGAGAAGCATAACGCCGAAATGACTAATCATTTTTTCTTTTTTAAATCGACAATATAATCATAATTAAACATTTAACTTTAGAAAAAAAATAGTTTTAATACCAAAGAATAATACGTTTATAAAACATAGGGGCTCCCAAATACATCCCAAAATGATAACATAATAAGTATATTAAAATAGAGTTAGGACTCGAATATACATAATGTCTATGAATGATACATGCTCTCAAAAATATACTCATGACGTACTCTGGTGCCTCAACGAATCTGGAACACGAACCAATGATAATCTCCTAAGAACCTGAAAAATGAAAACAAATTTCGAACATTGAGCTAATAAGCTGAGTTCCACACAAATAACTCTACTATACTACGACAATTGAACACATGAGCATGCTAACATGCATAGTCATAAGCATACAAGAACGTTAAACACACAATCAAGGGTAGATATCATGTTATAGTGGGAGGGATTACATCTTAGGACTCACACCCATCTAGCCTACCCCACGTACCCTCAGGTACTTAGGGTGAGATCCGCAATTCTGCATCAAAAACATGTACCCGATCATCTTACCTCTCGAAGTACTCAGGACACTTGTGCCCAACTAATAAGATAAGTGCCTTTGCACTAACTTGGACATATCTAAATATTTCTAGAAAATAATAACATTGTCATAATCACTAAAGTAACTCGAGTACTTGTTGTTTCCTGAGTGTTACACAAATGCATAAGTTTTATGGCATCTTACTTTATGTTGATCTTATGTTTTTCACACCTTTAATCAATGTTTGCACGTACATGATTCATTTGGAGACACTAATGACTCTAGACCCCTTATGAGTGATCAAATTTGCATTTATTTTGTTAACAATTATTCCTCTTTGTTTATTTGATGCTAATGATTTGGTTCTGTTTTGCTTATTTTCGTGCATGGACTTATTTTCTAGAACCAGTAGCAAAGAGTGCAAATTTTGCATTTTTTTATTTATGGAATCGTGGTTGGAGGCATAGGCACAACCTGGTTGTAACACGGTTCGATATGGCAAAATCCAACGATCTAGTTAGCAACATCAACAAATTTAAGAAGTTTTAATTAGTATTTTCAAAATAGAGGATGGTTGAAATTATTGGATTTTAATTTTGATTTTTTAAGATAAATACTTTGGATAAATATTTTAATTTGTTATTAGGGTATTTTATTTTATTTTGAATGTAATATCCCGAAATCCGGGTTAGTGACTAAAATGAGAATTTTTGAACTTTGGGGATCAATGTAGGAAAATTTAAAAGTTCAAGGACTTAAATAGGAATATTTCAGTATTGGATTAAATTGTAATTATGGAAGTATTGAAAGTGTATTATAGTCTTTTTATTTTAAATGATATTTTTCTCCCCTTAATAAGAGTTAAACACGTGGTTATGGGAGAGTTATATGGAAAGCTTTCTTCTTATTTCTTCTTCACGTTGGCTTCCATTGTAAAAGGTAAGTTTGATTTAGTTGTGGATTTATTGAATTTTTAAGTTTTCTGGGGTGTCATATAAGCTTAAGGAAAGCTTATATAAGCTTAAAACATCAAGAAGAGATAATTAGAAAGTAAATTCTATTAAGGGTTTAGAAATGAACTTTTGATATAAAGAAGTTTTTGAAGTTCTAATGATGAATTTGACTTGTCAAGGGTTTAATTAAGAAGTTAGAGGTAATAGAAATGAATTTAGAACACAAGTTTGATGAAATTCTTTGATTCAAGAGTTATAGTGAGATATTGAAGATAATGGAGTGTTAGAGTGTTTAAAGAGGGTTTATATGAGTATGATGAGTTTAAGAGAATAAGGAGAGGTTATAAAGTAGAATTTGGGGTAAAGTGTTAAATTTTTGGGCTTAAAAATGAAAATCTAGACAAGGGGTATTGGTACCTGTTGAGTGGGTACCGATCTACAAGGCCATTTACGAGGATATGATGCAAGGGGTATCGATACCTGTATGAACAGTATCGATACTCTATAGAAGA